TTTTTTTTTTTTTTTTTTTTTTTTTTTTTTTTTTTTTTTTTTTTTTTTTTTTTTTTTTTTTTTTTTTTTTTTTCACGAAGATTGAAGGGTTTTCTAGGGGTTTGTTTAAAATTTAGGTGGGAGTTTGTCAGTTTCAGTAGCTTATTTGCTATTTTTGTCCAATTTGAAATGTTAGAAGGAGGTGCTTCTGTTCATACTTACGCAGTTATGCTTATGAAGAACATGACTAGTTCGTTGATTTGTTTGGATTTCGACCTTCCGACACGCTCGAGATGAAGCCATAAAACTTGAGATCAACTAATAGTTCGCTTTCTCCATCTCTGGCTCTTTGCATTCACTATTGATAGGCGTTGAGCTGATGGGACAACATTTTCCATTGAATGTTAAAAAAGTACATATTAAAGTTGTCGGTTCCTCTGTTGTATTTTGAGTTGTCGGTTCCTCTGTTGTATTTTGATTTCCAAGTAATTCCGAGTATTTTCGTGATTTTCTTAATTCGTCAGAATGAAAACAGTTCACCAGTTCCTGTATTATCTCGTTGATAAAACTCCCAAGTTTCCTTTTGTTTTGCGCCAATTTTTGAGTCATCATGTTCCTTAGTTCAGTTCTTACAAATTTTCTCTGTCCATAAATGGGGGGTTTTCATTTCTTGACTATCTTTTCCATGTTACTTGATCTTCAAAATTTCTATTGCAGCAAGTTGTCGATGCTTTTGCATGTTTGGAACAGTCTTACGTTCCAGATGCCAGCGGGAAGTCAGAAGCAGCCAAGAAAATGGAAAGTTCTATAAACCCTCTAAGGAAATCTATAATTAATGGTCTTCTACGGAATAGAGATAAAGATGTGAGACTTCTATTAGCCATATGTGTTAGTGAGATTTTCCGGGTTTTGGCACCAGAACCACCTTTCGAAGATAAATATCTAAGGGTAATTCAATAATTTTGTTGAAATATACACTCCCTTCGTATTATAGCGAGTGTTCATGCGCTAATTTATCTTTCTGTTTACTATCCAATTTGTCCCAATTTTTAATTCTTTTTAATTTTAATTATTATAGGATGTTTTTATACTTCTTTTGAGTTCTTTTTCGGAGCTAGCGGATACAACAAGCCCACTTTTCTCTTGGAGGGTTAAAATACTAGAGACAGTGGCACGATGTAAATGTTGTGTGATAATGCTTGACATTGGATGCAACGACCTGGTATTGGAGATGTTCAATACATTTTTCTCTGTTTTGAGGTCAGTACCCTTTATCTTGCACTTCTCTAGTATTGGGGCTTGCAGTTTTTGTTTTTCAGTGTGTTTAATAAGTTTACGGATTTTCGGTTATGCCAATTTTTTTAAGTTACTCTTTTTCTTAATTCCTCCAAGTATTTTACAACCCGAGGCCTTAAATTTCATACATATCATCCTTAATGCTTTCAACTTTAATGGGTCAGTTTTGTTGTGTTTGAGATAACAAGTTGTATTGTATATTGGGGTATTTGTAGTTTGTAGTTTATCAGAGGAAGAATTTAATTTATCGCGTACCTTTTTGGAGGATTTTTATCACAGAAGAATTTAAAAAGGTTAATTTTATGCTCAGTTATAAACTAAACAAGTTTCCTTCGAGGTAGTGGATTCCTGTTGGGGAGTATTCAGTACAGTTCCCTTTTCGGCCCTCAACTAAAATGTAATGTCTTTTTTTCTCGCTTGTTTTTTCTAATACATGAAAGCTTGAATGAAGAAAAAGTACTACTTGTAGAAATTAAGTATTTTTGGATCGCATAAGTTGTTAGTGTGTATAGTATAATAATTTCTATTGGTTCTCAAACTTCAACTTATATATGCTTCTTTTAATACATGCTGCTCTATATTTTATTTGTTTGGTTACATTCACCGTAACAACCCTTTTGAATTGTTTTATATTAACAACAGCTCTTTTCTCTGTAGAGACCATCACGAACCTAGTTTGGTTAACAACATTCTGTCAATAATGACCCATATTCTAAGCGAGGATGCCTCTCTACCGCTAGTAGATGTGGTTTTGCATAATCTTGTAAAGGAGGAAAAGGTAATTAAATAGATTGATGTTTTTTTTTTCTCTTTGGAGTGATAGAAATATTCGTCATGGAGAACATTATCTATGAGACAAAATTTAAGGTAACTGTAATTATGATACTCTTTTACTTGCATAGTTTAGTTTTAGTACGATAGTTGTAGTAATCTTCTTGAATGATGGTGCATTCTGCATTGTATAATTAGCCGATTTTGTGAGATAAGAAAATTTAGGGCTATTTGATTGATAGAAATCTAATGTTTACAAAAGTGAAGTTAATTAGAACATAAGAGTTCAAAAAAAAAAAAAAAAAAAAAAAA